ACACACTCACACACACACACTCACCTGCGGTCCAGTGGTTTTGGACTTGATGGTTTTTATCATGAAAGTCACGCCGACCTGAAAGAGAAGCAGAGGTCAGGCTTCACCGTGACGACGGCCACTTTAGGATGGATGTAGGCGGTGTCTCTTTACCTCCACTGCAGCTACTCATGCACTCATCCTCGCTGCCATACCGGTTGTTATTGCCACGGCAACCGCCATATATGAAGGGCCGGCAGGAGGCGGTGTCGAGATCGTAGTAGAACATGGCGAAGGCGGCACGGCAGGGCCCGGGCTCCGGCTTCTCTGTGCACGTCCCTGTAACACACACAGGCGCAATCACACTCTCCTCCAGCTGCTGCCTACATTACCCACAATGCAACTGCGCCGTGCCAGCAGCAGTCATCGACCTAATCATGTGTGCTCTAGCTCCACCCACAGTCAGGTGACATGCTGCAGCAAGGGTGCGTTTCATTTCTTACCCTTGTTGTCTGAGGACTCCTCAGCTGCGGATTTCTTAGAGGATGGAAGGACGGACACTGCAGAAGACAAACACGTCAGCGAGGATCTGGGATCTCTCACCTGTGCAGGTACCCTCAGCTGATGTGCATGTGTCACTCACCTGTGCAGGTCTGCATGCAGCTCTCTTCGGTTGGGTAGTTGTTCTTGTTTCCTCCGCAGCCTCCGTACACGAACACCTCACAGTTTCCCGTCTCTCGGTTGTAGTACCAGTGCCTCAGCGATGCTCTGCAGGGACCTGTTTCAGGCTTCGCCTCGCAGTGCTCTGATTGGACAACACCACACAGGTGTCACTTATATGGAAAGCAGATGTACAGGCAGGTAAAAGTTTCATGTTTGTGAAAGAGTAAAAGGATATCATACCATTCCCCTCGGCAGTTACCTCTGCAGGAGGGAGAAAGAAAGGCAGTTAGTCACTTCCTGTTTTTGGACCTCAGTTTTACTTCCTGTTCCTACCTGTCTACTTGTATACCTGTGTTTTACTTTTTGTCTAAAATTACATTTAAAGGCAATTTTTTTTTATTTTGCATAAAACTGTGACAAAAACTTCCTGTTCACAGCCACACTGCAGTACTGCTTAAACCTGGTTGTCCAGCAGGTGGCAGCACTGCATCTTCCTCTAGAAGTACTTTTCAAAGGTAACTTGAGTGGGACTGCTGGTAGTACTGCAGTAGTGACAGGTGTTATAAATGATCAGTGTTATTGATCAGCGATTGGTTGGTGAGTCGGGTGGCGTTACCAGATTTGTCAAAGTCAGCAGATTCTGGATCAGATTCAAACACAACATCTGGAGCGTTCCGAGGAGCTTTAGCAGGAGGAGCCGGAGTGGACTCATCAGGGAGAACTTGGCCTGGAAAAACACACAGTTTACTTTGACCAGGTGTGCTCCACAGGTGTAACCAGGTGCAGCACCTAAGGAAGAATGCCCGTCTTTCCAGTTGAACACTCAACCAATCGGGGGCATGAATGCTGTCATGTGGTTTTACAGTGCTGCTTTTATAAACTCATCAGCTGATTACAGCTGAGTACAGGTAACCAAAGCTGTCCTTTTAAAGGAAGGCTGATGGTGAGAGGACACACTCCACTGGTCCAGCAGGTTGAAGTAAACCAGGTGTTCTCTGGTTTACCTGGAACACAAACATTAAACTGACCCAGCTCTGGTTCACTCAGGTACAAACACTGTTAGCCCCGCCCCTTTTACATTCTTTAGATCAGATTTTAATGTTTTTACTGTCAAAGCTGCGTGAGTAAACACACCTTTGATACTGTGTGTGTGTCCTCTGTGATTATGGTGCCTTTAAGCAGTGTCGTAATAATCTTAAAATCGAGTGTCTGACAGGAAAAGTCACCTGATCTGATTGTCCAATCAAATCATCTCAGATGGGAGAAGATGCGAGCCGCTCAGCTGCTGATGTTTGATTCAGAAACACGGAGGTGACGAAGATTTGTGCTGTGAACTTTGATCCCACAGCTGTCACAGCCAGAGCCCCCCCCCACCAGTCTGTGTGCTCTATCAAACGTTGGTTACTGATGATCAAACACGTCATTATTCTGTGTGACTTTAAATGAGTGGTTTCACATCTGGAACGTGTGCCGTGGATCTGTGTTTTAATGACGCTCACATGTGTCGTTTTTTCAACCTGCAGGCGAAATCCGCCTGTGCGCCTCATCCTCACAGTCAACGATGAATCTATATCCCCGTGTCATTAAATAGGCACTGTCCCTTTAAACAAACATAAACAGGAAGTTTACCTGTGACCCCGGAGCAGGTGGCCTCACACTCCTCCTGAGACTCAAAGTGGTTTCCGTTGGCCTCGCAGCCGCCGTACACGAAGCCGCTGCAGTTCCCGCTCGTCACGTTGTAGAAGAAGCGTGGGAAGGCAGCGCGACACGGGCCCACCTTCATCGGCAAGCGACAGCGAACTGAGAGAGACAACGGCGACACCATCAATAACAGCTCTGGTAATCTTTCGGCGCTCTCTGATTGGCTGAGTTCAAGAGTCTGCAGAGTCAGAGTCTGCAGCCATCTGTGAGCCACGGTGGAGGCGCTGCCATGGCGAGTGTTGACGTATCAGGTAACACCAATGAGTTAATCCAGAAAACCAGGTGCATTATGGGTGTGCCAGCAAAATAAACTGGACAGTAGATCGACTCAAAAACCCTCAGGTGTTTAAATCACCTTCAAACAAACAGGTGAGGGCTCCGCCTCCTCTCAGGTGAACCAGCCCGACCGGTCCAACCTCTCAGAGAACAAAGAGCCTGTAAAATACCTGCACAGGTGGATTCCAGGTAGGGCATGGTGTCACATTAACAAGGAAACAAATGAGAGCAGGTCATTAACTCTCAGAGGTGCTCGGCTGAGAGAGGCTGCCGGGGTTCCCATGATGCACTGCGGGTCTCTTCTTCACTCACCTTGTGCTCATAAAGCTCTCTGTGTTTCAGGTAATCACTGAGCAGCTGAAAGCCTCATCCTTCACATTAGACTAAAAAGGTCAAAGGTCAGTTTCTCTGTGACATCACTTGTTTTTATCATTATTATAATAATGACTACAGCGTCCACGCTCTCAGGTTCAGTCCATGTTTGGCGCTTCCTGTTGACGATTAGTGTGAATATGATGAACCAGAGCGTGAAGCATCACCGTGACAGAGTCACAAAGAGGCCACAGGTCACGTGTTTGTGTCTGCAGTTCACCTGTGCAGGTAACAATGCAGCAGAGCAGGATGAGCGGCATTGGTCAACAACAATGAGGCACTAAATGCGCCGCCCACAGATTCACACGCCAATTCTGTTGTTGATCAGGAAGTATGAGCTCAGTCTTCTCAAAGGTTTCAGTGAATGAGGTCATTACTGAGTCAGCTCTGACTCCGCCTTCTTTTGTTTCTTTTATTTTGAAAGTCTTCAGCTGAAACACGAAGGAGGAAATCAATAATAATAATGATGATGACGACCAATAATCAAGTTAAACTGATCAGGTTTCTCCCTGCAGACTGATCAATGAGCCATCTATCGATTCGGTAAAGGATCAGTTATGTTCAGCCTGATCTGTCGATCAATAATCGATAATCAAAGCTTCTTACTGTTGTTAGACTCGTTGCTCCGCGGCTCCCAGCGCTGCACCTGCGGCACGTTGTTCTCCTCCTGGCCGCCCTCCCGCGCCTCTCCGTCGGCCTTTTCGGCCACGAACTTACGGTAAACCTCAAACTGGCTACTGGGACGAAGTGCGCAGGCGTCGTGGCCGTCCCCACAGCCCACCAGCTTGCAGTGGGTCGGTCCGTCCGCCGGAAACCCGATCACAGCCAGGTCGCAGTCCGGGAGCGCGCAGCACATCGCCCGGCAGCTCTTGGGATCGAGCTCCATCACATTTTCCAGCAGCCGCGCTCCGCCAGCCTCGAAATCCGGGACCTGGTTGGGGTCGGTGGACCGGTCCCAACTGCAGTCCGTAGCCAGACCCGAAGCCAGCACGAGCCCGAGCGCGAGCAGCTTCAGCGGGATCAGGGTCGCGCCCCCAGTCATCATCAACAATCAATACAAAGCTCCAATAATCAGGAAACAGCGCAGCGAGCCTCCGGCCACACGGTCACTTCCGTGTTCTTGGCTCTGTCGCACTTACATTTACCTACGACAGGTGCGGCACGAGGCCACGCCCACACCAGACGTCACTCACACTCAGACACACACACATAGAGAGAGTTGTGCTGAACGGTGAAAACCTCAAAGGTTTAAATGAAACTCGTTTTGTTTTACTGAAACAAAACTGATGATGAGCGGGAGAAAGTTTTAAAGTTTGAATTACAGCCAATCATTTGGTGTCTCGCGCTCAGTGCTGCTGTTACAGCTGTTTCCATGGAAACATGAACACTTCCTGTCCCACAGCCTGATGAAGGAGGCCTGAAATCAGATCAGAGGGAATTAATGTGATTGGCTGAACAGGTGTGTTCACTGTTTGCAGAGTGACTCAGCAGGTGCAGCACGTGACCACATGATCACATGACCACACGCACTCTTAGCTGCTGGGCTGCACGTAAAAGAATCAGAGGAAATGGCTGATTTCAAACTCGACACATGACTCGGCTCCTCTGCTTCCTGTTTACTGTGTGACTTCAGTCAGGTGTGAGCAGGTGTGGCTGCAGGCAGGTGAGATGTACTGAGGTCACACCTTGTAGTCCGAACTCACCTGCATTCATGACTCTGATCATCCAACCCGCTGATGGGAGGGGCTTACTGGGGATGATAGAAACTTCACCTTGAACATGGCGGTAGGACGACTGTCAGGCAGCTCACAGGTTAAAGGTTAAAGGTCATGTGAGAAGGTTCTACACACAATATTCGAAGCACATAGCGCACACTGTGGGAAATTACGACTGTGCGTATGTAACAGGGTCATAAATCACATTGTTATAATCACACAAACTGCTCCGTTTATGCCTGACTGTTAGGACCTCCCATCCTGTAGTTATGTTCAGTATCAGTTAGAGCCCCGCCTCATTCTCTTCTTCTTCTTTGGTGCAGCCCTATAAATACAGTGTACCCCTTTGCCCCTCCCCTTTTCTACAGTTCCCTTGTGGGAGAGGTGGGTGTCATTTCTTTCCAACACTGTAAAACGCTCATATAATGCATATTTAGCCACCTGGATGTTTCTGATTGTGATTTTAGTTCAGTTATTGTCATTATTAAGCCTGTTTTTGTTAGATGTTACTGAGATGTTAAGAAGAAACTGAATAATGTAGCCTTGTTATCGGATTGGCAAAAGTGAATGCCTCTCTCTTCCAGGGCTCGTTGGAGACGGGCGACAGTGCAGTCAGAGATATTCGTGGGCAAAGAAGCTTCGGGAGACCTCACCGGAGCGTGGGAACGGCGACGCGACCTCGGAGTTGAACGCTGAGATCGATTGTGTTTCCAGGAAGCTCCGCGGGGCTGGAGATGCGCCTCAGGGCGATCCGGAGTGGAGTCCTGCTAAGAACGTTTACTGGGAGGAGATCGTCCTCTAGCGGATTGGAGGTTGAAGTATTGCGGGGAAGGGGAGCGACCGGAGCCTCTGTATTGCTGAATGGAGCGGAGAGAGGAGTTCCAGGGGATGCGAATGGCTGAGCTGATGGCTGCGCCGCAAGGACGGCTGCTGGAAGACGCGCCGGCTGCAGTGGGGCACACCGCAGCGGCTCCACTAGGAAGATCAGTTGGCGGATCCCGAGCTGCTAGGGGAAAATCAGGTGGAGAAGGAGCGAGGTCGTGGTCCGATGGCTGAGCGACGGGGAATTCATGGTGACTGAAGGGTGAGCAGGAATTAAGCTCTTAGAATTTGTGAGGTGACTGGGGTTGTCTCAGGCCCTCCAAGGAGGCCTATCTCCCCCCACCACTCCCCCTGCCGGGGGCGAACTCCCTCAGACATCGGTGCGTTGGTGGTTCTTTGTGTCCGGGGTGGACGTCCGGGTACACACCGGCTCACTCCTTGG